GCGCAGCACTCAATCATCTTTGGCTAGGCTGCGAGTGTAGAGAATCAAACTGTCAAATCCAGCAATAATTGCCTTCTCTTGCTGGTCATCTAGTGCCTTATTACGCGCGATATGAGCTGTTTTTTGGTGGCCGACCCTTGAAGCGTTCGCGAAGCCGTCCGCGAGGCACATCGAATTCTCGCGCCAACGCAGAGATATTCGGTTTTTTTTGACATGAAGCCTTTCGTAAAGCTTCCTCAATTAGGGATTCAATTTTGTCTGGCGATTTTGGCATTGTGGTAAGGCATAAAATTGAGAAAATAGTAAAAATTGTCCGTTGTGGTGAAAATGTCCGTTGTGGTGGGACGCACCAACACGGGAAGTGTTGGCGCGGCAGGGGGCACGGCTATTTGTTATCATCTGATTGACGTCTACATATGGATCCTTACACCTCCCTCTTTCTGCCTGGTACAGTGGACAGAGGGCCCTTCAGGTCCTGGGTCCGTGGTCCTAGGACCGGTCTGGGCGCAGGACACAGTCGATGGCCATGCTGGCCTCAGGATCGCTGAGGCCTTGGGATTGTCTTTCCTCGACTTTGCCGCCCTCACTTGAGTTAAGAGGTGTGCCGGCACTGGGCATAATCCAGATTTTTGTTGGGGCCTGACAGAACTTTTACCCTGGAAGGCGGTCAGTAGAGCGGTACATAACGGACGGGCAGAATAAGATATTTTCAAATCTGTCCGATAGTCATTAACATGCGCAAATAAACTCCTTTGAAAAATTGTGGTCAGGCACATAGAATATCATCGGACAAGACAGAGACTTCTATAGGTGCCAGCATGATTCCCCAAATGTGTAATCAGGCCTACAGAATCTTGTTGGACAGGCCACTGACTTGCACATGCGCAAGAGTTAATTCTGGAAAACTGTGGTCGCGCATGTAGATTGACATCAACTATGCTGTAGATCCCCACATTCCTTGAATAGGTGCTCTGGTGCCGTACACACTTTTGGGCTCGAACGTTAAACATTCCAATTGCCGCACTTTGACAACTCCTACCACTATTGTATACCCGGGCAATGTCAAGATCGTCACTTTGTAATATGGTCGCCATGACATACAATGATCCTTTGCTGTCAGGGGAAAACCAAAGATGAATGACACACTCTGTGGGATTTTTCTTTAAAATAAAGACCAAAGGCAGAGGAGGTTATTTTTTGAAAAAGGCATCCCAGTTTCTGCGGCGTGCTCCATAACACTTTCCAGTCGTGGCCACGATTTCAGCGAACACTGTAGATTTGTGGTCGCGCGTACAGCCCCTTAATGGATAAGCTGTTGACTCAGGCGTTCGACATGGAACAAGGCGTACTTTCTGAAAATCATGGTCGGGCATATAGAATATCAGCAGACAAGCCGTAGATCTCCATATGCACCAGTGCGATATTTCAATTAAAGTGGTCACGCGTATGTAATCTTGTTGGACAGGCTACTGAGTCGCACATGCGCGAGAGCTTTTTTGGAAGAATCGTGGTAGCAGGTATAGATTGCTGCCGGACATGCTGCTGACTCTCACATGCACCAATGTTGCACATGCGCCAGGGACTTCTCTCAAAAATTGTGGTCGTGCATATAAAATTTCACTGGACATGCCGTAGAGTTCCGTATGCACTAGTGTTCTCAAAAATTGTGGTCGCGCATATAGAATCTTGTTGGACAGGCCACTGATTTGCACATCTGATGGTTATTGACATGCGGAAATGACTCTTTCAAAAATCGTGGTCAGGCACATAGAATATCATCGGACAAGCCAGAGACATCCATATGCACTAGCATGATTCCCCCAAAAACGTGGCCAGGCCTACAGAGTCTCGTTGGACAGGCCAATGACTTGCATATGCGCAAGAGGTGATTCTGGAAAACCGTGGTTGCGCGTGTAGATTGACATTGGCTATGCCGTAGATCCCCACATTCGCTGCTCCTCAAGACGCGCAAGTGTCATATTCTGAAATTCGTGGTTGCGTGTCAAAAATTGTGGTCAGGCATATAGGGATGTCATTGAACAAGCACTAACTTTATGAATCATCAGTTTTAGGGGGAAAAAACACATCAGCACACACAGACTGTCATGTAATGCGTCATGGACTTCGACAGAAGTGAAAGCTGCAGCAACTGTCACGATCCGGCACCTAGGGTA